CTTAAAGAAGAAAATTGACATTTGTTAAAGAGTCAGTCAGACAGGACATTTAGTGTATATAAAGTCCCGCAATAAAACATTCAGATTGGTCGAGAAGCTCTAGGCGTGTTTTAATAATCTTTTATTCAAACTGTATAGAAGGAAAAAAAACACGCCAACGACTGAAAACTCAAATTTATATATTTTTGACTAACAATACTGAAAACAGTGAATAGTTGTACAATAAAAATATTATCACCCAAATGGAAAGCATAGTAATATGTTGAACATAGTCCTCAAATATGCAATACAAATCCCTCTACTCTATTATATCCCTACACCAACTTTCGATAATATATATTTAAGTATAAGTAATGTAAATGTTAGTGACATAACACATGTAATACAGTGTTATCTATGGCATACGCAGTCATTAATATAGTTGAACACACAACATAAAACGCAACACTGATTGACTCAAAATTATACGAGTTTCCATTTACGTGACTAGAATGTTTGCTCAACCCTTGGTAATTCACGTAAAATATTTAGACAACGTAAGTTATGGTGACGTCACTGGATTTGCTCCACTCCTACGGACTGATTTTCTCATGATTCGATTATGCGAATGGCGTGCGCGTGTTGTAGAACACATTGCGAAGAGAAACTCTGTAAATTCAATCACCGTGATGAATGACAAACCAACCCAAAGTCCCAGTGAACCACCGGTATCCGAGAGAAGCTGAGATACCTGCAACGTTGAATTATTAAATATCAGATAAAATAGTAGCAACAATAGCAATATAAAAAAGAATAAACTCAAATGTAATCATATATTGTGTGTATTGTATCATGCATCATTTGGAACAACGTCAAAAGATCGATTTCGGATAAACATAATTCTTATAATTTAGAGGGGTGGCGTTGAACAGTTTTCATCGGAGAAAATAGTTTTGTTCAATGAGTCCAAAGTTTAAAACTATGAAGATATTTATATTCTAAAATATTATTTATCACAAATATCACACATACACTGATTTCATCATGAAATCCGTTTACGTGAGAAAACATGGTTTTGCCGCACTCCTGAAAATTAGGTAAAATTTCTGCTGATATTATGAAATAAATTGGACATCGATCTCTTAGCGCTGTCTCTTAATTATCAACTGAAAACAAAATTATCACGATGAATGACTTGTGTTTAACACGTAAACAAATGATGTATTGAAAGTATCTCTAGTGTGGCCTAGATATATTACGTCTATTCTGTTTAACACTTTTTAGCAAAGTGATTTTGAGTTAGTGTAATTTGTTGTCATAACGAATGTCGGGCGGTCAAAACATGCTTACCGGGTAAGCCTCCTCTTCACTGACCAATTGTATATTCAGATCTTCAAAATACACTTCGAGACGAACCAAATCTTCCCTACATATTAAATATATATAGTTGTAGAAAGAAATGCACATGTTCACATTATTTTAAATGAACGTCTACAGCAATAAAATCCAATATCAAATCCAAATTTCTAATAAAATTAAATGATATTTAATCTATAATTCATAGTATATATAGCACATTTCCGATGATTGAATGACATTTTTCTTTAGAATGGCGATTCATACTATATATATATCCATATATATATATTCCACCAAGTGAATAAACAGTCACATCTATTTCATAACTCATTTGCTTTTGCTGTTTTATTTGTTAGATTACAAGGCTACCTACCTGGCTGATTCTTTATCTCTTATGACCCACGTTTTACGATTTGTTGCGTGGATACTATTCAATAAATGGGGCTGAAAAATCAAGACTATTTCATTAACACACAATTGACTAAAGAAGTCTTTGTGGACGCAAAAAAAAAAACAGTTACTAAAAGTGAAGTCGACATTGCATAAACATGAAGGTATAATAATATTGCTGCTGTAATGAACATATCAATTTCCTGTTTACTGAGTAATCATAGACGAAAGGGGCAAGATGACTTTAAGTGATAGCGGCCTAGTTAATTAATGTATTAAATGATGTGCTATATTACAATACTTACCAAATAGGTGGTGGATGGCCACAGAGCTTGGGAAATCGTCTTCGAAAACGAGAATTCTCTGAAAGTTCAAAAAGCAGTTCATGTTGTTAATCTCATTGTAATACGTTCACACAGTCACATTTTTACCTTTACATTTTTATTTTTTTAAATCGACACGTTTTTCACTGTCTCCTACAAAACTTTTTATGAGAAGCAAACTAAGTATAACGTTACAAATAGCGACTTACCGGCATGGCAATTGGCAGTCACAAGACAACATAGCTTCTCGATAGAAATAATTCATCAACTGTTTACAGGCATCTGAAACAAACAATTATCAGTTTAAACTTATTTACTGGAAACTCACAGAACGTGGTATATAGATGTAGCATATAGGTGTAGTATATCGACATACTTACCTTGTGTTTTATTGAGTACACTACATCGTGGTTTGTCATCTGACAAGGTATCCACACAACCGCATTTACTAAACAAATAATCTTGTAGACACTGTTTCTGACATGCCTGAAATTCATGAATTATATTAAGGATGTATAAAAGGATTCCAGAAAGTAAAATTCGCACTTATTAATGTTTTAATTTTAATTTTAAATTGTTTTAAATCATATTATATATTTTATGAAAACGGTTACACTAATTAGCAATCGATGTTACGTTAGATACAATGTGGTCACGTGAATGCTAAATACATCTTTTATTAAAAATTCTAATTAGTACTTTGAATAAATGTAAAAGGATACCACAATTTTTTTATTGAAAAGGGTAGATAGATTAAATCATAAAAGTCACAACAACTTCGTTTTAAAATTCAAATAGTGGAATATTTTAAATTGCTATGACTTTTATGTTCATATATATGACATCTACAATTTCTGAAATAAGTGAAAAGATCTGATGAGTGCCAGCTGAGTTTGATTGATCATTTTAAAGTCCGAATTTAAAGAGTGATATACAACTTGCATATCAATAGTGACGTTGCTGAATTATTATTGATATGGTCATGTAATTTTATGTGACCAATGTTTGACGTCCAGTAAATTGTAGATGATAGGTAAATATGTTCTAAAACTATTTCATACTTGACTGTGTCATTTACTAATTATTTGAAATACATAGGAATGTGCAAATTTAATCATCACAACAATGCGGTTGTTAATGTATACCACTGTTCTAAGCAGCTTCCAATTATAATGGAGGTTGAAAATTTAAATTAACATTTTGATTAACAAGTGCTAAAAAGATTGAAATCGTGAGTAGTATCCGCCATGGCCAAATGACAGATATAACAGGGGAATCATATAACCCAACACATAACTTAGTATAGCAGAAATATTACTAGCGTTTATCGTCGTTTATGTATCGTCGATTAGTTGATAAGGAACTCACAACCAATGTATAAGTGTTATAAATAATATATATACAACATGGGAACATACCAATGATGAATAATTATATTTGACATCACTTTCGGGAAAATGTGTCGAACAGTTTCCAAAGGGAGGTCCCTTGCGTGTCCATTCATTCTGAAAAAGAATAATATATATTCCACAAATCGAACCGAACATACACCTATATGGTGTCTCGCATCTTGTTGTACCCAAGTTATTAGTAATTATGTTTTTAATAAATCTTGAAAACGCTTATATCTTATATAATATTATGGCTACATTCGTTTATTTATTTAAAAAAACAATTGCTAAATTCTCGAAAATATAAAACACTCCATGTAACAAGCGACTTAATAAGATCAGGCATGCACGTCGTTGAATAGACGCGTTTTTGTAGTGCCCAAGGTATTTTATAATATTACATCGTCGAATAATTTGCATATGTATATGATGTATTGAAATATAATAAAAAAATAAATAAATACACTAATCACTATTTAAAGTGAAAGTAAGTAATTACTATTATTTGTTTGACACCTTTCTTTCATTTAGAGCACCACATAAAAATAAAAAAATCCGCTCACAACACGGCGAGGTCACTACTGTAAGCCTAGGGTCAAATATATTTCTCTCATTAATGTTATAATGTTTGTAAGTTATTCTGTATTTTTAGACTTCGAAATTAAATGGCAAATGACGAAACTGGTTATCGAATTAGTATAGTGTTAAGACTTTTATAGTTTACTCACCTGCTTGATAGAAACAGCAGTTACTGCTCCGGGTTTCACATATACGCCCTCGTCTTCTGGGAATGGTTTTGTACTTGGATTATGTATCACGACTCGTACACCGGATTGCTGCCCAAACAAACTAATGTATTCATTCTGCTCTGTGAACAGTGTTAACTTCAAACCTGTTTGCGATTACAGGAAACATGTAGTAAAGCAGTATGCGAGTGATATTTCATTAGAAAATATACGCCTCAAATAAGCGAATAACAATTATGTTTTGAGTCATTTAAAGCGGGGAGTCGTCACCTGCGCATGCGTCAGATGGCCATTTGCGTTTTTAGCGTGTGTTGGAACTCAATTCCCACGCGTGCGCAGGTGACAACCCTCCTGCTTTAACCGATTTTATAATACAGATGTTGGACGTTTTCGACAACAATAACGAGAAAAACAAATTACCATAATCAGCCCCTGACTTGGTAGCCTGTCTTATTTTAGTATCAAAGCCATGATTGAATGTGAAGCAGTTACCATACTTGTCATGTTGGAACTCGTAGAATTCACTATAAAAACAGAAATGAAGAAACCCTAATATGATCGTTATTATTACAATTATTTGTCATTTCATATCTGCTGAGGCGGCAATTCACGTTATAAGTGATCGTGGCATTTATATATCCCGAATGTATTGCGCAATAATACCTGTGTCATACATGGTTCCACTTATTGGCCTATTCTTATAACGAACAATTAATCCCAAGTTTTAGGGACGTTCAATGTATGCGCGCCACACAGATGCTGATGCCATTTGTTTGAGGTGAGGCGCTCAACAAAATGATTAGTCTGCCTGTATACACTTATATAGACATGAAACACGCTAAAAATATGCATGTGAATTCCAGCAAAATATATGTGTACTTTAAACATACACGAAATCGACAATATCATTAAAAGGCTAAGTTAACTACATGTGGGCCACATGTTTACAACATGCGATAGTAAGGGTGTTATGCTGTTTTTAATGTCCTGTCCCATTCTAAAATAATCGTGTTCGCAAGTCTATTTAGGTTTGTATAATATATGTGCAATTAAAACAAGTATATGCTAACGTGAGAGTTTTCGTCGCTTAAATTTACCATCGGAAGACGAGTCGATCGTAATATAATTTCATGTATAGTACCCTGATATGGTTAGTGTCAGTGGTTTCAATGAAAAACACTATTTCGATATCAGTTATGAATTTTTTATGCAAAGAAAATGTGCTGCTACTGTCCTTGTTACTATCAACACATTCAGGACGATTACAACATTGAACAAACTAATTTTACCTCAAATTGCATTTCTTTTTGTCGTAAGTGCATTGCAGTATAAAATCATCAATTTGATGACCCATGATACTCAACTCTGGAGAAGAAAGTTTCAAGACGTCTTGGAGATCTGTAAAATCTGGCGTTGAACTAGCTAGCAGAAAATGGTCCCAAGACGGAGGATCTTCGCTGGGAATAAAATCGAAGTTTCTAGCGGAATACACATTCTGGGTAAATTCGCGATATATATCTTCTCTATTTGTGATATCACTATATTTTGCCTTCCAATCAGAATCGGAAAACACGTTCGCCACGTCTGCAAAGTGTCGACAATATGATTTGGAATTAGGCATTCATAAATACACTATACCATGTGGACAGGGTTATACATATTTAAATTGTAAATCGTTTTATGATTTGTTTGCAAGTCATGGACTGTACTTACCATATGTACATTCATTTTCGTCACTACCATCGCCACATTGGTTGATACGATCACATAACCATGTTCTAGGAATGCAGAAATCATCGATGTCATTGTCACATTTAAACTCGTTCATGTTGCACTCTGAAATTATGCATTCAAAATCTGTTAATACAATTATATATCAGCTGTGACTTTGATTTTTTGTCGTCCGCATGTTTTAGGAATGTTTACTTTATTCTAAGTGAAAACGACTACACAATCAAACACATTTCGTATTGAACGACACTGCCTCCATATACGTCATTTTGACGGTAAAGTAGCGTTCCACCACTAGAGGGCACTAGGTATAGGATTATATTACTTTCTTCAAAACAAAACAGAATTAAAGTAATTTAAATTCTGAAAAAATGTAATTGTGATTTATTTAAAAAAATACTTACCAACAGTATACATACATGCTACCTCATCACTTTTATCTCCACAGTTGTCAACTCTGTTACATACTTGCGACGAATTAATGCACTTCTCAACTGATATGCACTTAAACTGATTATCTTCGCAGATAATCGGAGGTGGTTCTAAGCCTAGTGAGTAGAACTCAAATCAATAAACTAGTCTACATCATGTACTTATTTTACAACACAGGGGATGTACGATCCCGACAATTTCATTTTAACATATTTCACTATTTAATCATTGCCTTTTTCCCGTGCATTTGACACCTTACCGGTACAATTGAATTCATCCATCGCATCAGTACAGTCCGCCACGCTGTCACAACGCTTGGATAGGTCCACACATTGACCACTCCGGCATTGGAAGTAACCATTAGGACATTCAGCTGTTGGGGAAAACCGTATACATTGTATATGTATATTTCATAAATCAAAAATATGTGAATAACATGATTTTAATTTTCGTATTGTGTGAGTCAATGTAAACATTGGTGATCGCGGATTATCGGATGTGGTTGTAAACCTAGTGAGTAGAACTGTAATCAATAAACTAGTCTACATCATATACTTATTTCACAACACAGGGGCAGTACGATCCCGGCAATTGGTGACGAATTTTACAAAAAAACTCTACAATTAACACTATATATACACACAAATTATTCAATACAATTTATCCTACATGTCTGTTTAGTGTTATGAATTTCGATACCTTTACGTATATGTAATTTGATTGGCTACGCAGATTGAAATTATGTCGCCATATATGACATCTCAATTTACGCTAGCATTATAGTATGTTGGTGAATTCTTAAAGAATTATTTGGAAGTATATTATAATATTTTAAAATATCAGGTATAATTTTTATATAACACTCCATTTAACCAGAACTATTCAATTAACTTTGAGTTATACTTGTGTATGATGGTGTAATGAAGCCGCGTCAATGTGTGTCCTATATTCAAATTATACGAATACGTGAGTTCACCAAAGTCCAGGGGTAATTTTAAAATTATTTTATTTATCTCCAAACCCGTACATATATTGGTGGTCCTAAACATAATCGTACGCAAATAATTGTTGTAATTTCCCTTAGAAAAAAAGATGAGAGTTTCTAAGCTTGTTTAATAAATCTTATACTGTAGGTTCACTTGTTAAATACCCTCCACAGGAAGATATGCTAGCTGACCTTTCGTGCAGTTAATTTCATCGCTACCATCGTTACACTCTAAATTGTAATCACATCGGTCAGTGAGTGGAATACATTGACCACTGAGGCAGGTGAAATAAGCATCTGGACATTTGTCTGAAATGAAAAAAAATATTATTCAAATGCATATTTTTGGAAAGAGTTTTGCTAACGTACAATAAAAAATGAAAACAATGCAAAATAGAATTCACATGTATTTCTGTAGATCCATAAACATCAGCCTAATTCATTCATTCATTTATCACAATGTCAACTGATTTATGGACTTTAAATTCGGTATGTAAACACCTCTTTGTAATATAAGTAACGTAGATTTGAACTTACCATCTCTACACAAAGTACCATTTGTAAATTTCGGAATAATTCGAAATTGAAATTTTCTTCATAAAACGAACAATTTTATGTACTTTTCATATGAAATATATTACTAACATAAATAGTTATAATACTTAGAATCTCACATGTATCACAGCTGTCTTCGTCGTCTATACAATCTTCCACTCCATTACACCGGTACTCAATTTCAAGGCAACGCCCATCTGCACACCGGAAATAATGTGTGCCACATTCATCTAAATGCGGGAATAACCATAGATAGTTGAACAGTCCGAGCACTCTTAAAATGATGGACATCAATAGTATATTAAAGCGGAGGGGTCGTCACGTGCGCAAGCGCGAGAATTGAGTCCCAACCGACGATAACAACGCGTGCTTAAAACGCAAAGGCTCATGGGTAAACGATTGTTTGTAAACAATGCCACGCTGTGGCCATCTGAAGCATGCGCAGTGACGACACTCCGCTTAAAATATTCACAAATGTTATAATTGTAGTTATCTTCCGCTTAACACTGGACAGTGATGTATCTTAAACGTACATTCACTATAGTGGTTGATTTCATTCATTATATGCACTTGTTTGTAGACTAAATATAACTCACTGAAATCGCAACCTTCCTCGTCACTTGCATCGTAGCAATCCGGGTTGTAGTCGCATCTATCACGCATAGAAATACAATGGCCGTTCTCAGCACACTTGAAGTATCCTTCCAGACAAGAATCTGGAACGCAGCAATACAGTTATATGAAGCGCGTTCTACTTTGTTAAATGTCCTATCACTGACAGATATGAGATAGAGAATAACACATACGCATATATAGCAGTAATATCACTTTGTAACTATACGTATATATAGTAGTAACATGTTCGTTTTTGTCATATACCGCGAGGTAGTGGAGACCATAATGCAAAGTGGTTGTTGTTTTAACTATCCGACACTGTTGTTTCGGATTTAACATACCAATAAGCTGTCAATATTGAATCCAAATTTCTATTTCTTTCCATTACTTACAATCTTGGCAGTTTTCTTCATCTGAATGATCGCTTAAAAGCCCATACATACAGTCGTCGAATCCATCACACCATTTTTCCGTAGCAACGCATAATCCACTATCACATGTCATATAGCCGTTCGGACATGTGCTCGCTATTAGAAGAATAACGAGACAATCAGTCATGAAAATAACAGTAATCATTAAGTTAGATACAAATAAGGCAATAACCAGTCGTGGTTGTATGCATTCATGTCATAAACATAGTGTCAATGGATTTAAATAAAGGAAACGTGGCAAAACAGGGTTAAGATACACATACGTACAAGAGTTACATCCCAACTCATCACTACTGTCCAGACAATGAGGGTGTCCATCACAACGTTGGCAATTATTAATGCAACTTCCACTATCACATGCAAACATATTCTCAGCATTGCAACCATTGGCTAAGCAAACAAGAAATATAAGATCAACAATTAAAACAAATGATGGAAGGCATAGGATAAGTGTGACTGTATACACGTATACGACATATGTAGAAATGAATAATTCATTACGTTACAATATTAGGTACAAAACGAAACAAACATGTACAATAGGGAATTTTCCAGACCAAATGTCTGCCATAACAATCGAGTGTTGTGTACTTGTACTTAAACTTGAATTTTGCTTTATTGTCTAGTGTATAAACGTTGATTTTTCAGACGGAAATATGTCATCGAATTGCCGTTACATGAAATGTGTATACAATATGTACAGCATGGAAATATCCCCGAATCCATTCGCCCTTGTTTAATTTGACGCTACATCGACCAAACCTTTTTCTGCTCTGTCTTTATGTTCAATTACACGCATTACGCGGGGCCTCGTATCAGCGGGCCGAGAAATGCTTTATTTTTTCATCGAATAACAATTGCATACATAGCAAAAACAACTTACGCAGCAATGGCTTATCTGGGCACGGGTATTCATCTGTATGGTCTAAGCAGTGATCTTTTCCGTCACATTCCGCAGCTTGTGGAATGCATTGGCTAAACAGTCTACATTGAAAAAAACCTACGGGACACACACCTTAAAAACAAACAGTTTATTTAGTGTAATATTTTGAAATATGAAAGAAAGTTAAACTCAACGATAATGGATATTGCTTTTATGGGGGTGCACAATATGAGTGGTTGGCAGTGAGCCAGAGTTGGTGATTTGTCTTAAAGATTATCGTTTTACATTCTATTTCACCATTATTCAGCAAATATACTATATAGGCAGACAATTATATAGTTAGACTGTCGACAGTCGGTCGTACCTAATGTTAATCTATTATTATTAATAAATATTGTGTATAAAAGTAATAAGAGTGAATAAATTGCGAGCGCCGGGACAGGAAGTATGGAGTGCTGTTAGGCACGACCGGCTGTTCTGTTCTGCAATTCACTGGTAAGATTTCTTACCAGATCCGGGTACTTTCATATGAAAATGAATAGTCGCGCAGATGTCTGTCATTTTATCGTGGCCAATAGTGGAAAGGTTCAGGGATGGCTGGCTACTAAGATTGCCTACGACTTACGCGAAGTTTGTTTTGACTTTACTACGCGCGATCGCGACACTTTCCACAGGAGTTTTTGACGAAAGCATTGTAAAAGTGCTGGAACGTTAGAACTACCATGATATTTCTTGCAAAGAATACCAGCGAGACGCTATCGCAAACTACCGGGAGGGGAGAGATGTGTTCTTCAGCGTCTCGTGTTGACATTCGACTTGTTAAAAACATGGAGGTAAAGCCATGTCAAAACGAACTCGTTTCGACGAAACCAGGGATCCCCCATTTTCAGTTGCCATTCTCTTAGAGGAAAATGCCTGCGACCTTTCCAATAACTCTCGCTTAGTTTGTTTAAATTTCTTGCAGTCGACGCTCTCAGTCCGTATTTTCTGCACGCATACGAACTGACAAGCTGTAGAACGATCGTCTCTGCTACAACAAATTCGATTTCTTCGCATGTCGTAGTTCTGTTGATCCCGCGAAACCGTCTATTCCGGTTTTCTATATTTTCTATTTGACTGCCACAAACAATTCACGTTATTTCCTTGGTTCTAGGCGATTTAATAGTTTTCTTTGCTATTTTGGTTGGAGTGACTGTATTCACTGTGTTCATACCAACGTGAACAACCAATGCATTCAGAGGATCATTCAGAATAAATTTGCATACTTATGTTAATATAATTTATTTCGTGACGTCATCATCAACTATGAATCATTCATATCAACTAGAAACCTGCAGACGGGGGAAGTCTCTCGGGACTAATGTCCCTCGCGTGAAATGGTTTGCATTTCCCATCAAACGCCTTCGGCGTTCGAATGTCTAGGAAACACAATTACATTAGGCTCGAGGACTGTCGATAATCTAGTAAATAGTGTGTCATCACGGGTAAATAAACAGACAATAATCCCATACTCACTGTGTTGACATTCCGATTCGTCAGAAGAATCAGAGCAGTCCGCGTACTGATCGCACCTCAACGTGTAATGTATACATTCCCCATTTGTACAGCGAAAGAAGTCCGGGCTGCATACACCTAAATTATGAAAAATAATGCTAGAATAATGTTGATCTTGGGGGGGGGGGTCACATAAATCAGATATCGTACTAATGTGCTGCACACATAGCGCGATTCATGTTCATATTAAAATATATGTTTTATAATTCACGTCAATACTATCACATAAACATATTTAAAATGTCTTAGCAGGTTACAGTTAGATCACCCAACTTGATTTCAAGAACCAAAAAAGAACCAATTACAAGTTGACAAAGATGTTGTGTCATTTGTCATGAAAATAGCCATGTCGGGTATGATTTTTTTTATTGATAGCTCAAGTTATGAATTGAATCTTATGAAAGTCTCAAAGTGGCCTTTGACACAGTAACTAATAAAGCAATTAACTTTGGTGGATATGCATGTCTTGTTGCCATCGAAACATAAATTTCGATATTGAATTTCATTCATAACTGAAAAACGTCCTACTAATTACTCGCGAAACTTTCAGCAATTTGAGCCAATCAACTAGATATTGGTAAAAATGCAGATCCTGTTGCTATGGGGCCAATAATTACGGGAATGATTCTTCATTTATAGTTCAGAAGGTTATGGATTGCAATAGAATTACCAACCGGGCAGAGGTTGGCTGAGATATTGATGTTTTTGCCATGGCTCTTAAATATCAGACAAGTGAAAAAGGTTAATGAAGAATTATTTGTTTAGAAAGTGTTATCATTCAGACATAAACAAAGTGATTGATTTTAGAAGAAATCTGGACTCAGTTTCTTATAGTAATTGTTCACTATAGCCAGATAGGGAGTGGATAAATCATTCAAGACACAATTTGTTTTGTTATTTTCAAAAAAGAATTAGACTTTTATGTCAATATGATAATATTGTTTTGTTATAAGAAAAGGTAATACTACAATAGGGTAGAGATAGTAGTAATCTGTATTCATGGCAGAGGTTTGTGCTTCCTGAATGCCTCCTAGTTATTATCGAGTCATATGGCACACGGATTTTACGATTTGATGAAGAGGATCTAGTTCATGTCCTAATGTTAACTAATACCATAACGTTGGAATGACAACGAATGGGACAAGCTTCATAACTGTGTTCATTGCAACTACATTCAACAGCAATTTGTACTTAACATATGGCTCATTTTTTCAACAACTCGCAAAAGATCTT